AGAGATAAAAGAAATTGATTATTTATATTTTCAGTAATTAAATTAATCAATAGACGTTATATCTTAAACAAAGCAATATATATCGATCAATTAAATCAATTAAATAATTAATTACATAGGGGATCAAATTTATTGAATAAATTGGACTCGAATAGGGAGATCAATAACATTACTCTAATGAGAAGTTTTATTATTTATTCAAATAGCTAAAGGAACTAATTTATCTTCTAGAATTTTCCTAAGTATGAAAACATAATTCTTTCTAGAATATTACAAAGGTGAGAAGACATGGAATCTTCTAGACCATCAACTTGGAAGGGATTAGAACTTTGAGAATGGAAATGAGTTGGAAGATATTAGGTTTCCTAACCCTATTTAGAGAAGTCCATATTTAGCACCTTCTTAAGGTCCCTAATGTATCATATAAATATATCAAGTCCCAACCCCTCTATATATGCATGTGACCTTCGGTTTTTTGAGTATTGAAAAAGGAGAGAAAAATCAAGTTCTACATATATTGAGAATTCGAAGTTCGTTTAGTCGCACTACCAAGTCTATTCGAAGTAGGAGTATAAGGTCATACATTAGAATGTCTTAAGGTCCAATATTTTCGATATCCCAACAAATATATATTGTCATCGGAACAAATATTATGGTGAATTATCAAAGTCGCCGGACGCCACTGCGAACCACCGCGAGCCAGCCGCAGCAGTCCACGCGACCTCCTGGTGATGCTCGTTCCCAGCCGCAGCAATGTCGAGACCTCGACGCCCAAGCCCGAGTATCCCGCGCGCATTGCGATCTCTCAGCTTCTAGGTGACCCGACATCCTTAGATGCATGCACCGTGCGCTCACCAGTCCGCAGCTCTCAACGTATAAGCAAGCAACGCACGCGACCCGCACGCAGGCAAGCTTGCAACCCTCACGCAGCTGACGCCCGTGACTCACATGAAGACGCCTAGACGTGCACGGAGTTATCCGCGTGACCCGACGCACACATGACCTACATCGCCCCATGCCCACACAAGCGAGACCAGCGCTCGATGCATACGAGCCTCAAGCAGCACCTGACGCGTACGTGCCCGAAGCAGCGCCCGACGCACGACTCGATCTACGGACCTGACCGACAACCCAACGGACTCTGCAGTTCATACAATCTCATTCAGAGGAAATCTACAACATCTCAAAGTCGTCAAAATTTTATACGGTAAAGTCCTAATCCTAAAATTTTACTGATTTCGATCAATTTTATGAACTACAAGAGTACTATTAATAATTGAATTCAAATAAGACTATTTTCAAACATCTCTATAATTATGAATTACAATTAAACTTTCCCTGCTATTACTACGAAAATATTGGTATATTCCAACGGGAAGTCCTACGGTAATATATTCCAATATAAATTTTAACGGATATTCTAATTGTATAATATTCGTTCGAATAATTCCATCGGTAATTCCAACGAAAATATTCAGTTGGAATGAGTTTTTTGTTGAAATTTTAGATGGGATTTGATGATTCCAACGGTTATTCTTCTAGCAAATTTTTACTATTGGAATTTCCATTGGAGTATGTAATTTCCGTTGAAAGTTTTATTTCCACCCCTGTTGGAAAATCTACTGTTGGAATCGTCAAAATCTAACGAAAATTCCAATAAAAAACTCATTCTAATAGAATACTATTGTTGAAATTTCTGTTGTAATCCATTAAAATATATTTTCATTAAAACTTTCGGTTGGATTTTTTTTTTCTTTTTTTTTGGTTTGTAGTGAATAATATTACACGCATGTCAATATTGCATCACTTTGCCACCTTTAAGGTGTAGGATATAACTGGAAGTCAACTATTCTAACTTTATGATATAACTGCTAAAGAGATTCAGTAGAATCTCCTACATATAATTCTTGAATGTTCTGAGTTTATGTGGCTGCTTCTGGTGTTTTGGAATCCTACTTGGCGAAGAATCATGCTTCATAATTAGGTTTGGACAAATAATATTGATATATTCATAATTAATAATACTGGTTCGAACATTCTATAAATATTATTTAGCTAAACTTAGGTATTTTAATATCGCTTATACTAATATAATTTAATTCTTTGTAATTATACATAGTGAAGCACTAAGTTACTAATATATCCATGACTTTTGATTTGTTTCATTCAATTAGGTATTGAATTTTAAATGTATTTTAAAAGTTGATAACTTTTGTATTTCTTATCGGTTTTGCATATGTAATATATCAAATTAATCATCTTTTGATGATCTTCGATTTGACATCCATATTGTATATATGAAATAAATAAATTATATTTATCTTTATAATAATAAAAAATAATAATATTTATTAAACTTCATCAGAAAAATAAAATTATTTCTCAATTAATATATTTATGATTAATGTAGTTATATGTTGTAAGTTAAAAATGTTACTATAATATAAGATAGGTAAGTGGCAGAAATAAAAAAGTGTCATACTAAATATATAATAATATATATTTTTATAAAAGGTATTTAAATTTTCAATTACTTTTTCTCTTATTTTAGATTTTAGGAAAAAAAATAGCAAGCACCCGTATAATACACGGGCGTTGTACTAGTCTATATATGTCATAGAAATTACCATTTATTAAAAATAGTAACCATAAATTTAGAAATCATTTAATGTATACCATTTTTAGAAACTTTTTAAATATATACATTAATTACTTCTATATACACGTTTTCAAATAAGATCAATTAAAATATGATCGAAATATTACTTAAATAAATACTAATATCTGCAATATTTTTATTGATATTTATTATAATAAATCACAAGACTGATTTTCCGTGATTCATGTTGATAATATTTTGGTCAAGATAAATATTATTTATTTATTTATATTCGTAATACTTTAGTTGATATTCATTATAATAAATTACAAGATTTATTTTCATGATCCATGTTGATAATATTTTGGTCAAGATAAATATTACACCATATTTTAATTTCTAACCATAATATTATTTGTTTTCATAAATATTTACTTTCTATCCAAAAATATTTATGAAAAATCGTAAAAGGTTAGGTAGATTTTTTCAAGTAATGAGACAAAATCAAGTTGGTGAATTAATATTTGCCAATAATTTTTTTCTTAAGCTTTATTTTGTTAAATATAAAAAATAATTTTTTCTTCAAAATAATATAATTTAGCATTATAAGAGATAATGACCACATTTTATGAAGTGAATTCTCTCGTTGAGAGCGGCCTTATTCTCTCGTTGAGAGCGATTCATGGTGATCCCCATTGATGATTGCTTTGCGTTCTTGTTCTCCTGTTGATTCTAAGTGTGTTCCCCCAGCTTTTCCTTATTTTCCCCTTTCTTCGACCTTCGGATTGATTTCTAGGGTTTTCTCATGGCGTCTTCGACTTGTGTTGGTCAAGATGACGAGCTTGCCCAAAAGCTCCAAGAAGTTTCGCTAATCGACGGGGAGTTTGACTTCATCGATATTGCTAATACTGACATAAAGATAAGCAATGAGGAATGCCTTCGCAGTCTCTTTGGTAAGATTAATGGAGATCGAAAAGCAAACTGGATGGGATTTAAGCGAACCATGACGAACATTTGGCGTCTGCAACAACCTATGGAAATCAAATAACTTGGCAGCAACTATTTCCAGTTCATATTCCAAAGCCGTGAGGACCTCCGGCGAGTCGCCTCAGGTACAAACTGGATATTCGATAACCAGTATCTTATTTTAGCTGAATGGAGAGAGGGACTATCCATTAACCACCCAGTATTCTCAGAGCTTCATTTATGGGTTCAAGTCTTTAACATGCCTCTGAATTGGTTGAGCTCAGACGTTGGCCTTAAGATAGGCAAATTCTTTAAATCCGTCCAAAACGTGGTCATTGTTGGAGCGGGCAGTCATGGTGGCAGGGTCATGAGGCTTCTGGTCACAGTTGATCATAATAAGGCTTTGCCCCGGTGTGTGAACATCCGTCTTGGAGACCAGGCTGTGAAAGTTGGTTTTAAATACGAGAGGCTGGTTAACTTATGTCACTACTGTGGACATATAGGGCATCTCGACCGTGGTTGTGACATACGGAAATCAGATATCAAAGACAACTCCCTCAAAGAAGGCCAGTATGGGGATTGGATGCAGGCCTCTGACAACCAGAACTGGGCAGGGTTTAGCACATCTGGCTCTAGAAGTCGTACCTAGTCTGACATCCCTCAAACTTCAACTCCTACTACTCCTATCCAGACATCCAATAGTCACATTGAAACATATAATCCTATTCCTTCCCCGTCAGATGATGCCTCTAATAATCTAATCCCAATCCCAATCTAGAACCTACCTCTCTTTACCAACTATCCCCTAATGTGTTGGACTCTCATAAAATTTCCCAATCCTCTGCTCTCATGGTGATTGAAATTGCTGATACTCTCACTCCTAAAGATATGGAAATTGAAGCTAACAGAATCATCCTTATAAGCCATCAAGCAGAGTGCTCTGGTGTTCTCAAACCTCCTCTGAAATCATGGAGGAGAGCATCCTCTAAATCTGGCAGACTTCTTAGACAAGAGGATACTCATTGTGTTGAGGTGATCCCAGTCCAAGGTAAAAGGCAGAGAGACCATTTGCCAGACTTCTCAGCTCCAGAATCAGAAGCCAATATTGATCAAGAAAATAGAAAGGAGCCCAAAATCTCAGCTGAACAGGTGGGGGTTGCCAGCCTTGAATGGCACCCAAGTGACAAATGTTAGCTGCGGTGTGGAATTGTAGAGGGCTGGGTGAGCCCTCTACGATTTCCCAAATCA